CTGCCCCATGCTGGTCACAGCTCTCCTACAACTGCCCATGTATTGCTGAGGCCATGCTCTTATTTAGTTTTTCTAGATAATGTTCCACTGCATCTAGACGTTCCCATTTCTTTGCACTGCTCTTTTGAGTTTACTAGAATCACACTTGGGGCCTGCCAGGTGTGGCCCCAAAACCAAAAACAAAAAACAACTCACACTTGCAGTTACATCTTCTTTCTAGTAAGTCAAGTTTTATTTTTATTTTGTTTATTTTTGTTTGTTTGTGGGCCACACCTAGCAGTGCTCAAGGAATACTCCTGGCTCTGTGCTTAAGGATCACTCCTGGTGGACTTGGGGAAGAAACCATTTGTGATGCTGGGAATTGAACTGGGGTTGGCTATCTTTGTGCAAGGCAAGTACTCTCACAGGTGTACTATTGCTCCAGTCCTAGTGAGTCAAATTTTAATCATTTGCCTTGCCCCCACCATGATCAAAGTTTAGATTTTTATGATCCTTTCAGAGAATTTATTTCACTAAACAACAATTTGTCATGTTCTACTATTTTCATCTGTACTTTTATCTTTACCTGGGTTATTTCTGGTTATAATTTAATGGTAATTTCCCAAGTTTTGTACTTTATGATTTCCACTACTGAAACTAAAATTTTCTTTAAATTAAGTACATGGTAAATATATTTGTGAATGGTCCTGGTGAGGAAGGAAGGAAGGAAATAAACTATTCTGTGCTAGAGAATATGTTAACAATGCTATTCAAATCCTTAATAACCATAGGATATTTCTTCTCTTCCTGATTTTTCTATAAAAGCTTCCATTATAAAGATACTGGTATTGTCCATTTCCTATTCTTAGAAGTTTTTTTCTTCATGAATTTTACATCTCTGTCATCATATACATAAAAGTTCATGAATATCATGTCTTCTTAGAGTATCTAATTTATCAAAATGAAGTTCTCTTTGTCCCATTTAAATCTTTTTCTTGAAAAAATACTGTTGTTGGGCCTGTTTTCCAGTTATTGGCATTCGTTTACATCTTCATAGCATTAAAGTTCTCTTTCTGTGTCATCTTTAAGACTGCTAAAGCTTTGCTTTTTAATGGACGTTTCCACTGAGCCTACATGAAGTGGTGCCTTAGGCATTTCCCATGATCTTGAGTCCACCCCTTGGTGAGTTGATCACTTTTCTTTGTCCAGAATTTTCCCCGGCATGATGCATGTGTACAGTCTGCCCTGTGACAAGAACTCCTTGTAAACTGTTAGCATGCTGACCAAGAGTGTGCAAATATCACATGCTTGAACAGTACCCACATATTCCCCGAGAACAACCTGAATTTTAATAATCCTTTACCTTTCTCATCGCTAGACACACATACTATTCAACAACCACCTGACCTTGCATTGGAGCTACATCAGCCACTATCAGCGCTAGGTATGCAGGCTGGCTTCCTTTCCGCCACCACTAGGGGGTGCACACACCATTCCGTTTATGGACATCTTAAATTTGCTTCATTTTGTCAGTGTCTGAGTCCTTGCCCTTCAGGGAACAAGATTCCTTTGCCTCTATTTGAATTCTACGTTGGTTGTGCCTAAAATTTCAGGTTTGCAATCATTTTTTTGCCTAGTACTGTGAAGATATCACTCTAATTAATTCTAGATTACAAATGTGTCCTTGAGAAATTGGATGCCAAGCACAGCAGACTTGTTTCTCTTGCCAAGGCGTTCTCAGGGCAACTTCTGACATTCTCATCAGCACTGCGTCAGCATCAGCCGTGCTCTGAGGATGGGATCTAGCTTTTTCCACTATCTTCTCTCTTGTCTCTGAGATGCCTATATAGCACATACGATCCTCAAACTCAAGTTGGCCTCCCATTCTCTCACACCCCACCACCTGTCCTGATTCTAGAACAGTCCTTGTCTTACTTCAATTGTAATTTCTGTCTGTGCTGTAGCTCCTGATGCTCTTTTTCATTTTGACTTTACTCTACTCTCCTTGGTTGTTTCTTTTGAAGGAGCAGCATTCTATTGACATGTGTTCTAACTCTCCCCTGGCCCCTTTGCCCACACTTGGTGCTTTTCATCAGTTCTCAAAGGGATGACAGTTCTCTGTATTGCCCATGGTGTCACTGTGATGGGTCACCCTTGTCAGGTACTCTGGTTACCTGCACTGTGGGGAGAGGTCTGGCTAGCCTCTGCCTGTCCCCGCCCTCCTACAGAAAGCACATTAACTCAACCCCTTAAGTTGCTGATTCCAGATCCCAAACGTGGGCTACAGTTCTCCATCAGCATCACCAAAGACCCTCACATGTCTTGTGTGGCTTTAATTCCACTAGCTCTCCCTCCCTCTCTCCCGCTCCCTCCTCTCTCTTTCTCTCTCTTTCTCTCTGTCTTGTTTCTCTCAAGGGGGAGCATGAACACAGTCCCCACTACCACAAATTATGCAGTCGAGTTTCCCACATTTTGGGAAACCACTGAGGCCAGCATATCCAGAGTGCCTCACCCTGGGAAAACCATCTTTGTGATTGCGCTATCTCTCCTGCCAGGTAACTATAACACTACCTGTTTCTATTTCAATAAGTAAAATTGTCTAATGCTCCAATATAGTTACTTGTTTCCTAGCATGTCAGAAATTTCTGTTGTGTTGTCTCAAAATGTTTTTTGAGGATTCTGGTAGAATTAATTAATGAATGTTCCTAATAGCCCCCAAGTTCTATCTGCAGAAGACGGATTTATGATGTCTTCCTAAAAAGAAAAAAAAAATTTTTATTTTTTTCTTCTCACAGTGCTAAAGAACCCGAAGATTAGAACCATCCCTTGAAAGTTCTGCTGCTCAAAGAAATTTTCAGAGCCTTCGCCAGCCTTGGGCCTCACCTAGGAGGAGTGTGGAGGCGTAGGTTGCTGTTTAGGGAAACAGAGGAGGAGAAGCGGCTGCAAGCAGGGAGGGGCCTCCGGTGGGGGCCCAGCAGCCCTCCAAGCTGGCAGGAGCAGTCCGCCCCATTGGGGCTTTTTGTCACTGAAGACTCACCCTGCAATTTCCCTGTTGGCTGTGATTACCCCTGTCACTACATAACACTCGCTTGCTGAAGTGGCTGGCATTCTCCATGGAAACCAGGACTGGCCCTAACTTGCAGCAGGCTCAGTACCATCTACTTGGACTATCGACTTGGGGATTAACTCACATTGCCAACCATAGCCACTGTCCCCCTTTTCTCTCCTAGGTCATACCTGAGGCACCCTCTCTGCTCTCTGCCCTCAAGCTCCTGGCTCCCCAGGTCCTCCCTCACATATCCTCCTTTCTTGGTACAAGTTACCACCTACTAAGCTGTAACTCTGGGGTACGAAGGGGTGCGGTTTCTTGGGATGTTTGAGCCCCCAGTTCGGGCCCAGCACTTTATGGCCCCAAGCAGTTGGTATAAATCTGGGGGCCCTGGCACCAGATCCAAACCCTCCAACCAGCACTGTCAGGCTAGACAGTAGGGCCAGAAGGAACCTCTGATTGCTATTTGGTCTATTACTCCTGTTACTCTGCAGCAGGTCCTGGGGGCACACATGCCTCTCACTCATACCCACATGCCAGCCACCCCTTTTCCCTGCTCTGGCCACATCCCTCCCATCTCAGTCTCCTCCACAAACTTTAGGCCAAACTTGATAATGAAACTCTCTTTGGTCCAAGAGGGATGTATTGGCAGTGACTGAGGAAGTACAGTGTCACTCTCCAGACTCCTGTGGGAGCCGCCACCCCACCACCAGTCCAAGGGCTGCAGGTGTTCCTCAGTCTCCCCTATGGACCTCACACCCACTTGTACAGAAACAAGCTCCCCTTCCCCCAATCCAGTTTTCCTTAGCCCTTCTGTTCCCCTTCTGCTCACTCCCCCAGATCCCCTGCCCTTGCTGCCCTGAGGCCCCGCTGTTCTCTGTCCATCTCCGGTCCCTCCGAGGAGGACAGAAGGGAGTCCTATGCACTCATGGCTGACTCCCAGCACCCTTGTTCCACAGTGTCTCTCTGGCTCAGCTCTAGCTACTCGCTGCTTTCAGGGTTGGGGTTCCCAGACCCCACACAGAAGGAGTGCTCTTAGGTGAGTCTTTCCTGCCTCTCTGTCGCTCCCCAGCTGGCATGTGTTTCTTGGCAAAAACCACACAGTCCAACTTGGCAAAGTATCTCCCATGGCCCAAAGCAAACTACAACCTGCCTTTTGTGGCCTCTCCGCCATCTGAGGGGAAAGTCCCTAGAGTGCCCTGATCCCTCCCTCAGGAATCCACACTGGTCCTTGTAGGACACCTGGAGACCAAGCTCTCCTGGTCTGTGCCCCCTTCCCACCACTTGTATGCCACCTCCCTAGTGGCTCCACTTCCACCCCTAAGCCAGGATGCCCCTGCACCCTGCACTCCTGGCATCTGTGGGGATGCTGCCCTGAGTCCTTGCTGGGTCCGTGCTGATTCCTCCACGCAGGCCCCACAGTCGCAGCAACCATGTGTTCTCTCACTCAGTCCAGCTCTCCCCTGCCCTCCTCTCTTCCCCCCAGAGGTCATCTCCATTCCTCTCTGCTGCCCACCGGCTCACTGGAGTTCCAAGAGCCCCACTCCTGCATCACGCAGCTAGACTGTTTAATCTAGAGTGGCCGTGGCCCCTGGAAAGGTTTTGGTCCTGCGGCTGGAGAGCAACCACTGCCATCTGCCCCACCCCCTGCCCTGATCCAAGCAGGACAGTGGCACAAGGCAGGGGGACCCAAACACAGACTCGGCCATCCAGGCTGCTCAGTGCATCACACGCCTGGGGGCCGAGTGCAACTAAAAGGAAGTCGGGGGTCAGGGTGCAGTTCAGGGAAGCATGGGGAGCAACTGAGTGAGGATGAGGTCTGATGGGGAGGGGAGATGAAGTCCCGGGCCGAGGGGGTGACCAGCAGGCACTGAGGTGGGCACAGGCAGGGCACAGTGGGCAAGCGGACCAGGAGAGGCAGGGACACAGGTGAGGGCTGCGGGCGGGTCACCAGCAGGGGAGACGAGAGTACCTGGGAGGGAGCGGCTCCTTCTCCCGGCCCGAGGCCGCCTGGCCCGCCAGCCCACCTGCTCCCCGGAGGGAGGCCACTGTCCATCTACCAAAAAGCAAGGGAGAAGCATCACGTTACCGGTGCACTCACAATGCTACCTTCAGGCCCTCCATGAAGTTCTCTCATCCCCAGGGCTGCTCCCCCAACATTGGGCTCCCAGGACACCCCGCAGACCTGAAAATACCTTAGGGCTATCAGCAAGGGCCACCTGTGCTCTTGCCCAGCATGCTGAGGAGGCCCCATGCAAGTGGTTCCAAGCCCTGCCTCAGCTCTGGCCCACTCAAACATTCCCCCCTCCCCCAACACCAGGCCCCTCCAGAGAGCATGCAGGGAAGCAGCCAAGGTACCGGGTACGCTGGGAACCCCGGTCTGTGGATGGCCTCACCTGCCCAGAGGAAAACCTATTCTAGGCCCAACTTCCACCCACTGGGAAGCTGCAGAAACACCAAAAAACTCAAAGGAAGCCTCAAGAGCCCATCATGACCCCAATCCTTTCAAATGATCCACAAACAGGCACCAAAAGATGCAAACGTGTAGCTTTGAGGGGGGGAGGGGGGGAATGGTGCTGTAGGCACCAGATTCACTCTCCTGCCCAACACTGGTCAGCTCAGAAGCATGTTTATGTCACACCACTTCCCGGAGAGCACCAAGGCCTGTGACGGGAGAATGACAAAGGGGCCACATCTCACCCTGGGAGATATCAAGGAATCCAGGGAATCATCCTAGAACCGATCCCCAGAATCCATCCCAGGGTTGCTGGCTTTCTGGGACCCACGTGTTCATGAGGAGGGAACAGAGGTATAATTCCTTCCGAGACTGGTAAATTTAGGACACAATGCTATTTACAGCATTTTAATGACTATTATTCTGTGTCCCTTTTATGGAGGAGCAGTAAAGATGCCAGAACATTCTCTGCTCTGCCGTGCTCTCCTAAGTGGTGGGTGAATGATTTCACTGCATAGTTCAGGTTCCTCAATTACCAAACAATATTAATTTAGCACAAGTTTAGAACAAACTTGGCTATCCATGTACTTTCTTTTATAAACAGCAGTAACTGTTCAAACTGTTCTCAGTCACACCAAGTTTCCCTGACTGCCCACCTACAGAGAGACAGCTGAAAAGGAAGCCAGTTCTACTCCTGAGCTGCCAGATGCCATGTCCCTGTCTGCCTGAGTGTATTCAGAAATCTGGACTCATGGGCAGAAGTGCCCAGGCATGGTCTACAGTTGGCAGGAGATTCTTTACCATCAGTTCTTAGTAGAATGGCCTGACTCAAGACATTCAAAGGTTTCTCAGCATGGGATGGGAAACACCAGCTTCAGTTTAAGAGAAGCTACACAAAAGTTTCTCCACCCAACTCTCTGCAAATGACATCCCATTGACACTTCCCTAAGGTTAAATGCCACCCTCTCACACCATTTGCTCTCCAGCATTTTTATATTTGACTAGCTGGGAGGTGGAAAATGGTGCCTGCTCAGTTTGAGAAAGACTGCTCCACTACATGGCTTCACTGAGCTGAGAGTTGGGGGTTGCATTCCCTCCTCTACTCTCTAACAGACATCTACATACAGACATCTACGTACACTCCAGAAAGAGACGGCAATCTGTGGCTCTGTTTCTGGTAATCTTCGAGTGGTGCTCCGAATGCCACGGCAGTGCTGATACTCAGCCTCACAAAGATACATGTGGACTGACATGCGCTGTCACTGTGCTGCCCCCACCCCTGCTGCCCCCAGACCTTCTGCAGAAGGAAAACTCTGGTCTGACAACTTCCTGTTCACCAGTACTGAGGGGTCCCCTCCAGTGTCTCTGACCTCTCACCCCTCACTCCGAGTTCTCACTGGGGTCTGGCTTCACCTTGGAGTTCTTGCTCCAATGGCTTCTGAGAATTGCTTTCCCTACATCTTGTGTTGTTTGAAATGTTTTATTCTGAATCCCTTCTTTCCTAAAGATTCTGAAGACTTCGCTACATTTGTGACTATGGAAATTGCTGTGGAAACACCTTGGATGGCAGATGACATATAGATGACATAATTAGAAGACATAAATAGAAAATGTACACAGAAAACATAAATAGAAAAGTGGATAATACACATGGACAAAAGTACTTTACAGAAGCGATTCATAGGTCCACATGGCAAATAGATACCCAGAAAGATGCTCATTCCATTTGTATTCATGCAAATTCAAAAATAGATGTAAATACACACCCACTAGACTACCAAAAATAGAATAGTCTGGCAATACCTTGCCAAGTGTTGGCAAGGACCAAGAGTTCTTAAACACCTTCCAGTCACATCAGCTGTTATTTTGCTCTGAAACACCTACTACACAGGAAAAGATTGTACCCACTAATTGTAAGGGGAAATTATGATGCATTTGATCCCAATGAAAGATAACAAAACAATTTTCATAGGCAGAAAAATATATCAATTGAACCAGTGAAACAAACTTACAAAAGTGACAATAACTCAGAAGCAAGTAAGCACAGTTTGCACTTGTGTCTCGGAAAGTGGCTCACCTCCAAGAGCAGGACAGGCCTTGTCTGGGGCACCAGACTCTGGAAGGCATGCTGACCTTGCTGCACTATTTTCTTCACCAATTTAGAGAAAATCTGAGATTCCAGGTTAGTTCCATGCTGGATGCATTTATGCATAGAGTTACAGCCCAGCAACACACCAGTAGGGCAATAAGATGGCATAAGGAAGCGCCAAGACACACAGTTCAGAATCCCCCCAAAGTATGACGGAGATCACTCATCCATCACAGTGCTGTACTACACAGATCCAGATCTGGTTTCAGGTGGGAAAGGCTGAATGGAGGGAATGGGGCACAGCACTCCGTAGAGTAGAAGAGGTTAAGAAGGAAAGTGAAAGGGAAAGATGTGTTCCAAAACCTGGTGTCCTGTTGAAGAGAACAGTGTGTTACCTAATGTAAATCTGAGTTTGCTGGAGTGAGAACCAACAATGAAATGCCCAAACTGCAGCAGCTCAGGAAAAAGGTGTGTGAAGCATTTCTCCCTGAGCTGCCTGCACAAGAAGAGTGGATGGCACAAGACACAGAGCACAAGGCACAGCACAGAACATGGGCACGGGGCACTGAATACAGAGCACAGGGCACAGCACAGGCACAGGGCACAGGGCACAGCATAGGGCACAGAGAAGGAAAGAGCAAGCATGGGCACAGGGCACTGAGCATCAGCACAGAGCTTGGGCACGAGGCATGCTGGAAGCAGAGGAGGAAGGGACATATCTAAAGCAGAGGAAGGGGAATGGAGACTTTGCCTTTCATTTCTAACCACCAATGACATGCTGTGCTACAAACACCCTGTCTTGTTTGTTCACCTGTTTTTCATTTACTCATTTTGGGGAGGGATGTTCAAAGCATCTAGCTTGGTGGCTCATCCAAGCTTCAAAGAACTCCATGACCTTTCTCTTTCCTGTTCCCCCACTCAACAGGCTATTTTCTGTGGAGCTCTGATTGCCCCCAGCATTTGCTGGCATCACCCATTCACCCTGCTCTGGGGCCCCAACAGGGAACCCAGTTATCTGACGTGTTCTTCTTCTGCAGTACATGCTGATCATTCAGGAATCTCAGCTCCCTGCTTCTAGTTCTACACCGTCCATTAGTTTTTGTTTTTGTGATTTACAAATGACTATTTCACTTTAAGTTCTCTATTTTTTCATATATTTTTTAATCTATTCCTTATTTTCTAAAACTTACTCATTTTGGTTATCTTAACGTTCTTCTCTGGTAGTGCAGATAAATTATCGGTGGGTCTATTTCTCACCATTTTGACCTTTTGCTCATTCATCCTGGTTTTAACTTATGTAAAAAGTTACCACTGGAGGATCAGGGAACTAGCTCAAAAGGCAGAAGCACATGGGTTGTGAGGTTGTGTGAGTACTGCTGGAGGGAGGGAGCTGGTGGAACTGCCAGGAGTGACCCCCAAATTTCCTAAACACTTTTTGAGGTTCCCCACAAGATACTGGACATGGTGGTTAAAAATGGTTTAGGCTCTGGACAGTGTTATCTTATTCCCAAGAGTAAAGGTAAAGGTAAAGGCCCTCCCGTTGATCGTCGATTTGCTCGAGCGGGCCCAGTAACGTCTCCATTGGAGACTTTGTTGTTACTGTGTCTGGCATATCGGATACTCTCGGTAGCTTCCCAAGAGTAATGCTCCCTTTTTGGAAAAAGAAAAATAATCCATTCAACTACCACTACACATATAGTAAGTGCACATATTTTAAGTAGGCAAACCAAAGTGTTTTATCACATACATATATCCTGAAACTATTTATAATCATGATAATGAACAGACTCTCAAATGATTCCTATGGTCATTTGCAATTCCTTATCCTCTTTTCTTTGCACCACCCCATCCAGAAACAAAAAAAGAACAAAACAAAAAAACAAAACTCACTATTTGCTACGGACACTGTAAAAAGTTCTGTCTTCTTTAAAGTTTACATAAATAAAATCATACACTGTAAATATTTTTGATCTGGTTATTTGTCACTTGTCACTTGTCATCCTGTTGTTCATCGATTTGCTTGAGCGGGCACTAGTAACGTCTCCATTCGTCCTGTCACGTGATGGTATAGCCCAATGGCATATTGGGGGCTCTTTCAGGCTGAGGGGAATGAGACCCATTATTGTTACTGTTTTTGGCATATCGAATATGTCACGGGTAGCTTGCCGGGCTCTGCCATACAGGCGGAATACTCTCGGTAGCTTGCCAAGAGGGATGGAGGCTTTTGTGGCCTCCAGGAAATACTGCCTACTTGTACTTAGTGTAATTCTGCTGAGATTCCAGAATGTTGAGTTTATCATGGTCACAGTTGTGCATATGTTCACATAGAATGGAGAATAAAACAAACCACTGCAGGCTTTCCTGCTTAGCGGTTTGTACAGACACATGCTTTCTGTGCTTTTGAGTAAACAGCCAATGGTGGAATGACTAGAGGGATATGTTATGGGCTTTAAGTTGTTTGCTAAACATTTTAGTTCACCACAAGCCATAAGAGATATTCTCTATCCTGCCA